ACCTTATCCTGGCTTGTCTGACTCTCACACTGTGGTTGTCTTAAGGTGCTCTCCGTATCCAGCGTGTGGTGAGGACTTCAGTTCGCCTTACCTATGGGGAAGATTTGCAGATTGACTGGGATGGTCATGGTGAACTCCTAGTGAAGGTACTCTTTCTTTTATTTCTGTTTTATTTTTGCCTGTTTGCCTTCTCTCTCATCCCACCCAAATATATACAAAGGTTTTCTTGTCTGAAGTGAGAAATTGCTTTGTGTTGCATGTTAGAAATTCCTTTCTCTTTTGCTACCCCCAGAGTGATATACAGGTCCTTTTGTATTCCAGAAACAAACATTTCATCCTACAGCAGTTTGATATCTTTTTTGTCCTCTTTTTTTTTTTCTTTTTTTTGTGTGTGCAATGACAGCCACTATTAACCATGAATAGTTTTGTTTTGTTCGGCAGATACCCTCCAAACTGGATGTTTGCTATCATTTGCTTTGACTGTCCTGTCTAAAACAATGGATGTGAATGACTTTAAGGGGAAAAAAATGACTTCAGGGACACAGTTACTCATAATTTCCAGGAAAAAGAAATTAGCTCGTGGAGGATGTGTTGCATGCTCTTTGTGCTGTGAGGAATGTTTGAAGTCACCCTTGATTAACAATTAGGGTTTGTCTGTGCTGCAGACTGGAGCAGAGTGTAGGAACACCCAAGCCAGGTTTAAAAGAAAGGAGCTGTGAGGGAACCAGTCAAGGTCCAGCAACAGAATGCTTTGTCTAAACCATTTCCCTGTGTGTTATAAGTTGCAGAATGATGTGCAGCACAGAAAAGCCTGTGAGGGAAGGGAAGATTATTCCACAGTAAATAGTCTCCTGATAGCTGATAATCCAGCACAGCTTGTCTAGCTAAGGTGTCTCTCACCTTTGCTCATGCAACAGGCTGTTTTCTTTCAATTGGTAGGTCTGCAAGTGTTGTCTCTGAGTGTGTATTTGCTCCCTCAGGAGCATGAGTCCACCTGTAATTTTGCTTCCCAGGCAATGTGCTCCCACATGATGCTGGGCAGCTGTGGAACCTGTGTGCTTCTGCTGCATTTGTGTGGAAGAGTGCTTAACCACAGCCCTGCTGCCTTTGAGCTCCTCTTGTAATAGGGAATCTGCAGCTCCACCCCGTGTTGTGGTGGTTCTGCTCACTGAGAGGTGTTTTGCCAAAAAAACCCAGTTTTCCTGGGATTTTCTACCGAGCAGGGAAGGTTGCCCTCTCTGAACCATTGCGTTGCTTTTGTGTTCTCCTTGCCTACCCCAAAATCAAATGTCATCTCTGGCACAGTGTAAAGGTTCATGAAAGCTGGTTCAGAATTGAGTTCAAGAGTTGAAAAGATAACAGAGAAGAAAAGTTGAGAATAACTTTAGAAAGCATCCGTGGGTTTGTGGTTGTTTTGTTTTAGCCTGTCTCTCTGTGCTCCAAGGGTCCTAGAAGTTCTTTTTGGGCTTAGAGTAATTCACTTCAGTCCCTTGGCACGTCTCAGAAGTTTTGACTTTCCTCAGTATTCAAAGTATTTTTCTGCCTGGTCAGAGACCCATATAGTCTGGTAAATTTTTCCTCTCAGTTAAAACAAATCTAATTTTCTGCTCCAGATCCTCTACCCATAAAAGCAGTGGAAGTTTCTCCAATCATCTGCATTTATTTGGTTCTGCTCTGAGCTCCTTCCCTTGCTGGGTATCTAAAACATCTTTTTAATTGCTTTTGGAGAGTTAATTTATGCTGGATCTGTAGACTGACCTGTTGCCAAGTATTTCTGACAATTGGGGGAAGTGATACACTTCCATTACCTTGGCCAGACTTCTGGCAAAAATTCTTTCTGTGTTCCTCAAGAAGGTTCCCCTTTCTGTGAGTGCTTGATATTTGTGATTTGAGCTTCCACTCAAAAATACATCAGAATTTGGATTTGTGAGTCATTGTACCATCTGCAGACTACGTGAAAGAATAGCCTCCTTGGCTGTTGGTATGAGGATACATATCCTCTAGTATGTGGTTGTTTCTTTTGATACTCTGACCACAGAGTTTGAACAGTGGGTAGTCTTAGGTTGTATTCTGGATGATTGAAAAAATTTTATACAGATAATCAATTTTCTTCAAGAGTGTTTTTTGTCTAACTCTTTTGTTTTGCTTTCACTGTTTACTTCTGCCAACCTGCCTAAGGTAGTGCTCTACTGAATTCATACAGAGGACTAAAGCAGCATTAAAGCCCTGAGTCAGCTCCTGAGTAGTTGGTAGTACCTGTAATGTATCAGAGCTTTACTTCTAATAGAAACTGACAGTTCAGACTGAAATAAAAGAAATTGGTGCCTTTGTGTTGCAAATATTGCTTAGGAGATTTGTCCCTGTTTACCTCTTGGTTTAGGGTCATGTTTCAGCTGTCCCTTGATTCGTAGGAGGGATAAGGCAGGGTGAAAAGTACATCTGCTCTGTGGGTTGTTGGAAATGCTACTTTTAGTGTGTCAGAAGTTCCTTCAGGCTGGAGGAAACTCTAATGTGAGGTAATGTAGCTTTAAGGGTAGAAGATTCTTCATTATTTTGTCAATGGTCCTTCATGTTGAGGGAAACATCTCCTCCAATATTGCTTCTGTATTGTGACAGAACAGTCTGTTTAAATTTTCTTTGCCTTCAAATTTTCCTTTAAAATGTGAAGTGGTTTCACTTGCTGTATCTTTTTTCCAAATTACCATTGGAAGGATAATCATCTCACTACAAAAAAAAAAAAAATGCATCCCCTACT